TATATATATATATAGATGCCCCATTCTCACCCTGCGACAATGGCTGCAGCGAAGGTTAGGAGTACAACTGGCCAGCTTTCCAAAATTAGTTTGTAAGTGCGGAAGTTTGGGGTTTTAGCCAGTGAACGAGATGCCTTGGCAATAGACGCAGCTGAAAAGCAACGAAGAAATTCGAGGCGAAGTTGGTTATCAATAGTTATCATTGTTTCCGTGCTCTAGCAAGTGATGTGGTTCGTTTTAGCCCTAGAAGCTAAGCGTACTGCACCAAGGGTTCCGCTGGTGAGTTAACTCACCGACAAAATCCGTAGACATTCGCCTTTCCTAATATCACAAACAAATGCACAGCACGATTATCATTCCACCCCAAATGCTCAGCTGCAGAAAATGTGAATAGCCCAATTTTCTAAGTAATTTGCAGCTAATTTCAGCTAAAGCCGAAATAAAAACAGCCCTATGGTGCTTGACTCTGCAAGCTGCGCAATGGAGTTCATTTCAGCGCGTGAATGCTAATGGCATTGCTTTGTAAACCCTTTTAAACCCCTTCCCCCCACCCGCTGTCCACTCCCCCCTTTCCGCCCATAATGCAAGAATGCCTCTTGTGGCTGAGCATTCTCGCTTAAAGCTATTTGCCTGTTCAGGATTTCAGTGTGTCTCCTGGTTGTTCGCGTGTGTGGTGCAGGGAGGTAAATTCGTGCTTTGGGCCACTGCGTGAGCTAGTGCGTTGCTGCACCTGAAGGGTAGGAACCGCAGCGCCATCAGCTGGCTCAGGTTCATGAGGCGCCGGGATGGTTTCTTGCACAGCGCTATCGTCGTCATCCCCATCAATCTTGGGGACGATTTGACTGGCTACCATGTGGTAATACAACCCTTTCTGAAAACAGCACAGCCATCCAGCGCCAAAAAATATTCGAGAACAATCCCCTTTATTATTCACTAGCAATATTTTGTTCCCCCAGAAATTCATCTCGAAACTTCTGCACTGTAGCTGTGAAGCAGCAACAGTGAATGTTATGTGGTCCGATTCACAAGTGTGCAAACTCCGTACTCCAGTCTATGTGCGACTTACAGTGTCTCTCATTAGCTGTTCGTGAGTGCCCTGCTGCACAACCGTCGCCCCATGAGTGGCCGATGGCTCTAAGACAACAATTAAATCAGCGTTCTGAATCGTACTTAAACGGTGAGCAACAATCAACGTTGTAGCTTTGGTCGTCTTAACGAGAGAGTCTAACGCTTCCTGCGTATATGGAATGACAAAATCTCCATCAACCGCCCCTTATGATCAACTGCTGTAGACCGCACCTAACTGAAGAAATAAAAGGCCGCATGGCTTACTCACCTGAACGACCCTTTCAGATTGCGTGTCAAGAGCCGAAGTGGCTTCGTCGAATATCAATATGTTGGGCCGACGAATCTGCAGAAAGCCACCCCGCATATATCAAATCCACGTCGGCGCTCTTACGATATACCTGCACTTGTACACGCTTTCCAATATGACCTATGTGAACATAACAAATTGGCAAGGACACGGCTAATAAACAGGAGACCGGAGCTATCACTGCCTCCTTCGGCTGGTTTGTGGATGTCCCTGCGTATGCAACTAAACAGCATGACAACGTTACACGCTACAATGCATTTCTTCCGATCGACGGACCAGTGCTCTTGCGATGGCAATACGCTGCTTCTGACCTCCCGACAATTGCCCTCCGTAGGCACCACAGTCTGTATCGTATCCATCCGGGAAACGGGTGATGAACCCGTCCGCGTTTGCTTGCTTAGCCGCTTCAATGACTTGTTCCATCGTCACAGGAGTCGGTGATCCCAGTTCAATGTTTTGCTTCACCTGGTGTCGTCGCAGCGTCGGGTCACAGAATAAGTGCCGCGTCACAATTTGCCCAGCAGGTGCTGAAGCATTTCCTGTTCATTTCTAACCGAAGAGCGTTCATGAAGTCGCCCGCCCATATCATGGGCTGGGTGATGCAAGCGTGCGAGCATTTACGTGCAGAGCACGTCTAAGAGATGATTTCATTCAATCAGTGCAAGCAGTCGGCGACAGATACTGCACTCGTAAACCTGTGAAGTGGTAGGGTAGGAACCCACCGTCGCTGAAAAAAGACGCGGCTCCTGACTCACAACACCCATCTGTCGCCTTAGCGTCCTGACATTGATGTTCTCAATGGGCCTGCGAAAGCGCAGTGCAGCGTACCAAAGAGGGCCATCATGGTGGGTCTAGGCAACGTGCCAGATAATGCTTGAGATGCTTCAGACTCCACTGATCATTTTACCAACGAGCTCGTACATATTAATGGGCAAACTTACACGCCACCAATCGTTACACTTCCTTTCTCACAGTCATAAACGCGTTGAAGGAGCTGCAAAATCGTCGACTTGCCACAGCCTGTGAACATTCCATAGTGTCTAGAAGGCTCCTTTCTAGGCTAAACAACTAATCGGGCTCAGCCAACTCCAAGGGTGCTCTCAAATGAGCATAGCTTCAAGCTCTAGTGTGCGAAAGATAGAAGAGAAGTCTCACCAGAACCTCCCACCAGTGCAACGCACTTCCCGGCTGGGATGCGAAGATTCAAATTCTTGAAAATATGCCGTTCTGGTCTCGTAGGGTATGCAAAGGAAACGTTCTTGAATTCAATGTCTCCATCCAACTTCACGTCCGTCTGGAAGGGAGCATGCACAGGAGCAGCACTTTAAAAAGCCATGAGCTGAGGCATCAGTTGTAAGTTACACGATGTATTCGTGTGCTTGCAAGATTGACAGGTCAATTGCCCAGCCATGTGGCCTGTTGCAACATGGATTCATGCTCCTTCGAAACCTACGAGGCCGCCGCTCGCAAGGGGGTCGATGGCTGAACGCCGCTGTATCACGCTTTCCAAGTCCATCGCTGCGGTGTTTGCCTGAAGCCAGGAGGTTGCAGAGGGAAAAGACGCATTTAAAGCAAGACTGAATCACACCCAACACGAATAAGGAGTGGCTGGGAGTGGCCACTGACACCACAAACTGCCAGTCCAGTTTGCGAGTGCCCATTCACCACTAGTGCAAACGTATGCATGAAAACGAGAACCCTACATTACCTTCAGCAACGCCGTGATGTTGGGGATAATCTGACCCAGAGAAAAGGCTCCAATCAGAATGACGAAAAACACCGTTATTGCAGTTCCACCCGTGAACTGAGGCTTTGGCCACGTGGTTGGATCTGCCAAGTTAATGGGTGCTGTCAATACTGAAGCCGGACACAAAACAAGGAGCAATCACACAGTGAATGGAAAGCCATACAAGCATGCAGAAATGTAGAGGAGACAACCCGTGCATAAAGCAGTACCGGCATGAGGCAAAGATGCAGGAGGCCCACGAAAAAGGCAGCAAAATCCACACCGCCTTCAAAGACCAGCAGCGCTAGCAGAGAGCAGCTGTGCTAACAAACTACCTCCCGATGGAAGCACTAACAAGCATGCAAATACGCCTAAGCAACAAATGAATCATTCCTATGACAAAGAATGTGCCAATATGACCGACGTTTCATGGCTTCCTCGGTGCTGTCGGCGAGCAGCTGTCCCCCATACCACAAGCCCAACGAGGCCATTAGAAACATCGCCAGCATCAGGCCCGCCAATCCTGCATTTGCATGGATAGACCAAAATGGAACCAAGCAAACATGCGATCTAAGGTCAGCTGCAAGCAGACAGGGAGAAATGCATTCATTCTAAGTGCGAGACACAAGCGAGCCACAGACACAAATACCAAATCTCACCCAGCGCAACCCAAACACACGCCCGCAGCGCAGCCCTTTCGGCGTCCCGAAGTTTGCTCCTGTACTTCTCAGCCATGCACTTCTCCAACCCCAAGGAGACGACTGTTCTTATAGCCATTATCGCCTCCTCGCTAACGCTTCCCGCAGAGGAGTACGATTCCATTGCTGTTAGCAGACAAACGCATGCACGTAGCCGGCGAGAGGCATCGAATCATGCAAACGGAGTTGTCTTAATGGAGAGGGATCCACTCCAGTCCACACAACGCCAAGGGAGCAAACTGTGGTATGCTGCGACTCTGGGATGCAAAGTCAACAGCCCCCGCGTTCTGCCATCGCACGTCCTCAGCAAGGCCTTTAAGATATTCAACTCACTATCCTTTTCTTGTTTGTGAACAGCCCAGGCGACCATACCCCCAAAACCTGCAACAACCGGCACTGCGGCTGCGCATACTAGAGTCAATTTCCAGCTCTTGATAAAGCCAACAATAAGAGCGCCAAGCACAGCGGTGGAGAGTTGAATAAGCTGCACAACAGCATATATATATATATATAT